GTCAAAATTTATTTACTTCTATCAAAATATTGCATCCTCTGTAAGCTGTACTATGAATTCACTACCAGGGGTTCAGCAGGGCAATACCATTTCACTGAAACTTCAGTGCCACCCTCGAGAACGTCATGCGACGACTGGAATGGGAAGGAATGGCAATGAAGACAGATGTTTGGCAACTAGACCACCTGCACTTTGCTGATGGCATCGTTCTAATAACAACAAACATTAGCTAAGCGGCACAAGTGCTGGCCAACTTCAATCATGAGAGTGGAAAGGTTGGACTGCAGCTGAATCTCACCAAGACAATGTTCATGAAAAATGAACTCATTCCTGATATTCCATTTGCTCTCAACAGAATGAACATCTCTGAATGCAGCAGTTATATGTACCTAGGTCAAGAACTCAACATAACAAATGACCTGGCACCTGAGCTGCGCAGGAAGAAGAGAAGAGCATGGAACACCTTCAAACGGGTTGAAGGAATCGCTAAGAGAATGAAAAACCTCCGTCTCCAGGCATATCTCTTCGACTCCACCATTCTTCCTGCACTAAGATATGCCTCCCTACGAAAACAGGATGAGAACCCTATTTGGGTCTTCCAAAGAGGAATTGAAAGAACTATGCTTGGAGTATCACGCTTCACTCAAGTGAGAGGAGGATTCCAGAGTTCCGACCTCTATTGACAATCGAGAATCAGGGACAATCGAGAATCAAGGCATCAAAAATCAGAAGGTTTGAACACATAATGCGATTTGGAGACGACCGCTGGACTAGAGCCATTACCGACTGGATTCCACAGGATGTCAAAAGATTGTGTGGCTGCCCACTTATGAGATGATCAGCCTTCTTTGTCAAGACCCTGAACAAATGGTTTGAGGCTCCTGGTGTTCCTGGAGTGAGCAGATGCCACTGGGTACCCTAGCATGCAAAAGGGATGAATGGAGATGTTACTGGTGCCCGCTCGAGCAAATCAATGAGTAACAGGATGTCAAGTGATCAAAATATTAGTACTTATATTTCTTATGCACACTGACAATAAATTGTTCATTACTGTCTGTGTAGAAAGATCTGACTTAAGAAAATACTGAAATCTCATTGATACTCCTTTTTATATTTTTGTGCTAGATATACTTCCTGGATTTCAGACTTTAAAACTGCTTGGAAATTTAGCATAAAAATGTGTTGAGTTGTAAGTTCTAATGAGATATCCTGGTGGGTAATACCTGGGATGACTGTAAAAATAGGTTTAGGAATGCAAGTTAGCAATTATTGAAAAGAGTGAAAACTTACTTTCTAACTATCCATTAATTTTGTAATATCTAATGTACAAAGTAAGTGACTATGTGTCAATATGCAATGTCTCTACTCCTGGATAACGTCATGTATAATCATTCTCAACTCCTTCATTAAATTCTTAGCAAGTAACTGAAAATATTACATCAAAATTTTATAATCATATTTAGAACTAGTAATTATCTTACAATAATTGCACTAAGTGCTAAGACTTCAAAGATGCTTAACATATTTCTTTAGAATGTGTCACTTGAGAATTCCAAAGGAGTATCTTATATACTTCATTTCAAAAACTTGAATTCTTCATATTCTATTTGTTTGTGCACACCTTGATGAATTACAAAAACTCATTAAAATAAATTTGTGAATATGGTGTAAAGATGTAGATCTGGTTTCACTGGCACACAGGGAGACAGTCAACTGAGAGATAATTGTTAGGTAGAGAAAGAACTTTATTAGCAATGGATCAGCAGGTTGGATAATGGTGGCCAAGTGACTTAGCTGCTGGACTATTTCTCTAGCCCCCTAGAGAACCACCTTGATAGAATACTCACAAGAAGCATTTCATATAGTAACAGAAGTGAGTAATATATTTTTAGAAAGGGACGGTTGTAGACTAGTAGGTGCCAGGATAGTCAATAAATTCCCTTTAGGCCTTGTCTATGTAGGTATACTCAATGTATTTATAAATTTAAAGAATAATTTTCAATTAAGGGTCCCAGTGCACATGCTGTCTTCCTCATAAAAGCTTTTTGGGGACTAACACAAAAAGGGAAACATTCTTTAAGTTCTTAAAAGCAGAGACCCAGAGGAGTTTGACTGCTTTAATTTAGTCCGGCTCCGAAGTCTCTTTGGGCTAGTTTCAATGAGAGTACAAATGTAATTAATTTTATTCTCAAATGTAAAACTTTTCCTAATGCTAAAAGTAAAATGTGTACATATTTAAAATTTGATTTTAAGAGTAAAAAAATTGAAAAAATAAAATTCTTTATGCAAATCATTGAAATGATTCTTAACCTAAAGCACACCATTGATAAAACTGACAAAGAAAAATTATATATGCATATATATAAATTTATAACATTGAAAGATACCAGGATAAGTAGGTGAATTTGCTTTTTAGTTGGTTCAAATTGGTTGACTTATTAAAGTTGGTATTGAGTTAATCCCAGCCAGTGAAGAAAAAAGTTCTAATGATTCTTTGCAGTTCTGATATCTAATATTTTACCTTATGAATTTCTTACAAATAATTCATTCTCATTTACAAATATCTTATTCACATTACAGTATAAATGCCACATTTACAATACAGATAAATATCTCATTCTAATTTGCTAAGAAATATTTCTTATGCACATATTTTTTATAAGACATTTATTTCTTCCTTTAAAAATATATTTAAGGAGTTTAGACCATAAGGCTTAAGAATAGATGAAAAGGGGCACAGATGATAGTACAGCAGGTAGGGTACTTACCTTGCATGTGGGTAACCTGAATTCAATCCCCGGCATACCATGTGTACCACCAAGAGTAATACCTGAATAACCCCTTAGCACCACCAGTGTGGATCAAAAAAGAAAAAAAGAAGAAAAAACATAGAAGGCTAAAGGGAAATGCTATGTTAAAATAAGTGTTCTGTTAGACAGAAACATTTTTCTCTTTGTTATGTTTATAAATTACAAAAATGTCAATTTAGGAAGAATAATTCATCATGTTTAGTTTGAATTTTCAGAAACATGAAGAGACACAGTTTGATTCCTCCACACCTCTTGGAGAGCCCGGCAAGTTGCCGAGAGTATTTTGCCTGCACAGCAAAGCCTGGCCAGCTCCCTGTGACGTATTTGATATGCCAAACACAGTAACAATTGTCACAATGGAGACGTTACTGGGCCCGCTCGAGCAAATCGATGAACAACGGGAGGACCGTGACCGTAAAGAGACACATATCAATTTAGAATCAATTTAGATTAAGAATACTTTGTTTTACCAAATAAAGCTGTTGGGAGGATCCTCCCAGGATGGGAGAAGCATGCTGAAAGCAGACTATAGACCAAACATGATTGTCACCCATTGCCTCTTTTGCAAACCACAACACCCAATAAGAGAGAGAGAGAGAGAGAGAGAGAGAGAGAGAGAGAGAGAGAGAGAGAGAGAGAAAGAGAGAGAGAGAGAGAGAGTCTAAAAGGGAATGCCCTACCACAGAGGCAGGGTGGGTAGGGGGTATGGGTGGTGGGAGGGATACTGGGATCCGTGGTGGTTGGAAATGGGCACTGGTGAGGGATAGGTATTTGATCACTGTATAATTTAAACCCAAGCACAAAAATGTGTAAGTCTACAACTGTACCTCATGATGTCTCACTAATAAAAATTTAAAAAAAAGAATAATTTGTTTTTATGTTTATTAGATTGAGAAAGACTGACATTTATAATTATATATATAAATAATTTTACTTATAAATCAAATATTTATAAATTAAATAAACAATTTAGATATTCATTTTATTTGAAAAAATATTATTATTTAAATGGTAAAGATCTATAAAGTCCTAGCAACATGAAAAGTAATTATCTTAGCATGGTTTTACCTATGATTTGGTGGTTAATTCCAATAGAATTGCATGATTCTTTTTCCCTTTTTCTTTTTTTTTAAACTTTGAGCCTCATCTTGTAGTACTCAGGGCTTGCTCCTGGCTCCATGCTCAGGGATCACTCCTGGTGGGGCTTGGGGATCCTAAGGGGTGCCAGGGACTGAACTGAAGTTGGTCAAGTTTAAGACAAGCACCTACCCACTGTCCTACTGTTTGGGCCCCTCAACTGGGTTTTTAAAATAAATGTTTTCACTTTATTGTTTATGACAAGCAATAAAGTTAACAAATATATTCAAATAATTTATTAGTTTTACATGTATTATATTTATATTCTAAAAATGAATGATATATAGGAAACTTGTCATTAAGTAATAAATATCATACATTGATAAAATACACTTCTATTTATTGTTCATTATCAAGATTTAAAGATGTCAAATGTATCTTCTTAAAGAAGTTGGCAAAAGAGTTGGATAATAAATACTGACATACCCAATCAATTTGAAATACAGTGAGAAGTAAAGAGGCAGATGTTACTACTGAAACATATTCATATAAAATAGGAATGCTACAAAGCTAGATCAATGGGAAACATCTTTGCTTTGGTATCACTGTCATAGATTCTTGGATTTGATGAAATATAAACCTGCAGAGAAGTAAGGCTCAGAGAAAACATCTATGGACTTAAAAATATTATTAAGAATGTAAATTAAAACCTATTTAGTCTCTCTTATGTATAGCATGCAACTATTAAGTATCTACACTGATTTAATTAAAAAATCTACGACTAGTGTTATAGGCAACAGCTTAAGACAACCCGGGGTTCTGTCCATAGTGTTCCATGCACAGAAAGTGAGTTTTGATTGATATCTTAGAGCAATTTAACTAGCATCAATACTCAAAATACAAAAACTCAAATAATTTCTTGTTGACAATGAATCAAAATACCATTATAAATACAAAAGTAATACACTGTTATATTTGAATTTTTGCCATTTAGGACAAAATGAAATGGCAAATTAAAATGTCATCCTAGATACATCAGACAAAAAAGCCATGAGCTTGACTATTGGATAGACTATACATACTTTCACATCACATCCATGGACATAAGTTCCAACTCGTTGTGCCATTAATGTCTTTTCTTCTTCTTATACTTTCGGAACTTCTGACTATACTCATTTCCTCTTTTGTTTTCTGTGCTACTATCACTGTCACTCGTTTGTTTTTGTCTCTTTCGTTTATTCGGCTGATGAAAGTCAGGGTGACTTGACTGCTGAGCCGTCCATTCACAGGAGCTTGGGCCAGCTTCTAGATCCGAAGCAGGATTTAGTGAGGAAGACATGGATGGACTGTTAGGAAGTGGTGTGGTCATCTCATAGTAGGGAAGCTGCTGCAATGTGTTATATGTTTGCCATTGCTGTGGAAGACAAACATTCATTACCATGTCAAGCTCCCCAAGAAAGAAAAATGCCAACAGTTTCTATCCATTAGCAACTAACTGTGAGCAAAACAAATAAAATGAGGACTTTTATGGTAGCAAATTCATTATTACAGTTTCTTTAAATGATTCATATGGAGATCCAAGATATGTACATTACTATCCTACAGAAATATAATACAAGTTGTATATGTGGTCTTAATCTTCTAGTAGTCCTAAAGGGAAAGTATACAAATAAAATCATTCCACTTAGTCCCCAAATACTGTCATTTCACAATGTAATCGGGATAAATAATATTGGGATTATTTTAATTTTGGTCTGCCATGTTGTTTTGAAAGTTGATGTGCATCTTATACCTATAGCATGTCTTAATCTAGAAGTAAAATTTTCATTGAAAATACTTGATCTAAATTTTACATAAATTTTGAGCTTACAAGTAATTACATGCTGACGTTCATTCAAATATATTTAGTGGTTCCAAGAACTAAATTAAGTTTCTACTTTAAAATTCTAATTAAAAGTAATTAATGATAAAGAAAATGAAGCAATGAGATCCTTAATCTCACATGTGGCTAATGGCCACCTGTCATACTATACAGCATAATGATCAACTGTTACTTAAAACTAAGTTTTAAACTATCATTCCAACACTCTAAGAAAATTTTCCTTTTTTTTGCTTTTTGGGTCACACCTAGTGATGCTCAGGGGTTACTCCTGGCTTTGCACTCAGGAATTACTCCTGGTGGTGCTCAGGGGACCATATGGGATGCTTGGAACTGATCCTGGGTCGACTGTGTACAAGGCAAACACCATGCCTACTATACTATCGCTCCAGCCCCCAAGATTTACCATCTTATTAGAGGTATATTACTGTAATAAATAGAATAGACTTCCCAATAAATAAGAACAGTTTTTCCAAAACTTAGAGTGATCAATTATTCTTATATTTACACGGTGAAAACAGATTGTGTAAAATCTGAAGTTCACAGGTATTTTTGATAATTTCAAATATTACACACTGTGAATGAAAATACTGACTTACAATTTCACATCTATAACTCACAAGTCATATGATCTTGGATTTACTGTGTAATATCCTTGAATCTTAATTTTTTAAGTATATAATAAGGAGTTTGAAGAAGAAAGAGAAAACCCTTAAGATTCCCTTTTACAATGAAGACCATAACTGCTTTTCTAGGCTAGAAATATATTTTTGAGTTCGGGGAAATAATATGGTTTACCCACCAAGATTTTTTTCCTTTCATTCTTTGCCACTAATTTTGCCTCTCTGTTCCTAAACAATAAATTTTGACTGCTGGTAACATTAAATAAAAAGTACTTCTAAGAAAAATGGTTCAATTCTAAAGAATCTCTTTTAAAAAAGTCTTTTAAGGCTGGGGAAATAGCTCAGGGGCCAGGGTGTGTGAGGATCTGTGTTACATGCCAATATCAACAGGGCATGGGACCCTTGAGTTTCCATTCTACACCCTCTCCAGCACTCCTGGGTGCGACTCAAGTGGCAGGGGTGCACTGTTAGTCTCAAACAGCATCCTATCACTAGCCTAGGATTGCATCAACTCAGTTGGTTGGCTGAAATTTGCTGGATGTGGCCCTAGATCTCCCTGAGCATTGCTTGGGAGGTCACCCCCTGAAAAAAGAATAAAAGGAAATAAAAACTTTATATACTTGGACCACAGTGTCTCATTACTACCTTGAACCTCTTTTGAGCCATTGACCCTTTGATGCAGTACTTACTAAGTATGGAATTAAAGATGACTGTGTTAGGTCAGGATAAAGCAGAGCTCAGGGCAGCTTCTGCTTTTAACCAAGACCTAGGTTTGAGCATCATAAGCTCTAAGTAATTTTGACAGTTTTCAGAGTCCGTGTCATATTATGGAACCAAAGGTATATGAAACTTACCATCCTCGGAAAGGAAAAACATTCCTGTGGTAAAGGTGAATTATTAATTGGAAAGAACTGCAGGGGAAAGGAAGATCTGCCCACAGCGTCTTCAGTTCTTTGAGTAAAAGAAGTAATAAAGTGTTAAAATTGCTACATCCAAATTGTTTTTTTCTTAAAAAAACAACAAAAACTCAGCATTTCATAATTTAAAATTTTTTTCTAAAATAACTAATAATAATCTGAAACATAAAAATAAATCTATTATATGGTAATATGGGCTGGAGCGATAGCACAGCGGGTAGGGCGTTCGCCTTACAAGCGGCCAACATGGCCGACCCGAGTTCGATTCCTCCATCCCTCTCGGAGAGCCCAGCAAGCTACCGAGAGTATTCGATATGCCAGACACAGTAACAACAAAGTCTCCAATGGAGACGTTACTGGGCCTGCTCGAGCAAATCGACGATCAACGGGAGGGCCTTTACCTTTACCTTTTATATGGTAATATAGTGACATATCAGAACTCTAAATGTTATTATCATTATTTGACAAAGAACACTTAGTTTGGGAGCCAAAATGAGAGCAAGGGTAAGGTGCTTGCTGCATGTGGCAAACCTGGGTTCAGTCTCTGACACCCTAAACCCTGCTAGGAGTAATCCCTGAGATCAGAGTCCCAAGTACCTCTGGGTATGTCCCTCCAACCCCCAGATATACAATATATTCCTTCTGAAGACTTCTTTTCCTACGTTGAGTTGAACGATCTGTTATTTTGACAGATGCACAGGTAAATTTTTTAAGGATTACTGCTATGTTCTTTAATTCTATTGACTTACTTTCTTTGGATTTGTTTTAAGAAAACTTTTAGCTCTTTTTTATGTTTCTGGTTCTTAAACCATCTCAAAGCTTTAATAACCAAACAAAGGAGGTACAATTTTAGAAAATCTGAATACCTGGAATTGCTTTTTTAAAAATACATGTGTTGAAGAGGAAATGGAGAAAAAGAACACTTATATACTGTTTTATAAGGGAATGAAAATAGGAAGCAACATGATGGATACATGAAAATTCCTCAACAAATTAAGAATAAAAATTCAATACAATAGACGCTATGTTATATATTTCTTACATACAAATGTAAAATAAAACCCCCTAATATGGAGACATATGTACCTCCATGTTAAAAACAAGATTTACAATGGCCAAAAAATGGAAATAGTTAAATAGTTTAAGTGTCTATTGACTGACAAATGAATAAAGCTGTGGTCTCTCTCTCTTTCTCTCTCTCTCTCTCTCTCTCTCTCCCCCATCATATGATATATATGTCATATTATATATGTGTCATACGGTATGTACATATACACACATTAGAATTTTATTCAGCAATTACAAAATATTAATCTTGCTTTTGTTATAATATGAATGAACCTAGAGGGATTTTCCTTATCAAAATAAGTCAAATGGAAAAAAGAATTTTGCAGGAGTTCACTCATATGGGGTTAGAGAAAACAAAAAAGCAGATGAACTGAAGAAAATAAAATAAACTTCAGAATTAGATCAACTAGTGGTTACCAGAAGAGAGGATTATAGAGTGGTTGCATTGGCATAAAGAGGAAAACTGGCTGGTAGAAAATGGAATTGTACCTTAAGGTAGGATATACACATTCTGATGTTCGGTGAGTCACACCAAAATCTTATGTATTAAAAAGGCAAGGCTGTTTCATAAAAAAAATTAAAGGACACAGTGTCAATAGCTGTGTATCTAAGCACTTCTTTCATGTGTGTATATTTGCTTCTATCTCTTTGAGAATGCAAATGAATGAAAGTAACTCCAGGAATCTGCCATATAAATGGATTACCTGACCCATCTCTGGTCCTCATAGCCACAATATCAGTGGGGTAGGCTGATGCAGCAGAGAAATGAAAACCAGGACAGATCAATAGTAGTGCAAGCAGCTCTCCTCTGGCATGGTGCTAATGGCCAACTGTATACCATACTAAGTATATTTTCTCTCGCTTTCACTGGTTTAAAAAACAATGTGGTTTTTGCTCAATTCAATCAGCTTAATGAATGGCTAAATAAACAGCAGTACTCCTACATTATAAAAACAACAACAACAACAATGTGGTTTAAGCATCATAATTTGATTGGGAGCCTTGTTGTCTTATGACCTATGGACTAGCTGCGTGCTAGTGTCCTTTGAGTCTACTGTTGCTATAAATTAATTTGTGTGAAATTTTAAAGTAATTTAAAATTTATACTTTACATTAAAAAATAAATCATTTGAAGGCTTAATGTCAGAAGGTTTATTTTCAAGCAAAGCAGTATCACTGATTTGGGCTTGTTTCTTTTGTGGGATAGCAGAGGGATAAGGTGGTGGTGCCAGGCATTGAACTCTGGATCTTAAACATGTGAAACATGTGCTTTGCCATTGAACTGATTACCTGTATCTGAATCTTCTATCTTTTGTGACTGCAAGCTATTTATTTTCCACACCTTTATTTGTTCAAATATGAAAGATGGATACTACTATCACTATAGTTCACCAAGCAAGGCTTTGAATAATGAAATAAGTTAACATCTATGAAAAAACCAACATAAGTAATAATACGCCAAATAAAATTTTATTTCTTAGCTACTTCTGAAAATGCTGATTGAAATATAAATTATTTTCTATCTCTCCATATTTTCACACAAAAAAATGAGTTCCTTAATTTTATTCTTTGTTAAAATGGTAAGATTTTACATAGTCCAGTACATAAAAAAACTTCCTGGCAAAATAACACATTCATTTGTTATTATGAACAACAATTACCTGTAACTGTATGAATTTATCCTAACACAGCTTTCAAAACTTTGGTTAGCTGGTTCAGAAGAGCGAGAACTTCCTTTAAAAGAAACAGAATAAGAGGTTGCTTCATGGTGCAATTTTTGTTGTTATTGTTTTACTATTAAATCATAAAAAAGAACAAGTTTTGATTAAACTTCAATACTCATATAAAATACATGTATACGTCTTTGAGTTTTCAGGAAAAATTTAAATTATAGTAATGCATTATAACTTTTAGTATATTTTTACTTTCCTTTTAAGCAATTTTGTTATTCTTCCATGGATGTATGGAAGAATTAAATTGCCTTGGAATCATATAAGATACGTGATAGTGTTATATACAACTGTGTATTAAATATGGCAAGTAATCAGTGTTACTTGCCTTTCATTTAGAAAGTCTGAGGTCTCTACCTTGACCTGACAAAAGCTAACAGAACTTTTCAGGATGCCAAGTAGCTGGCTATGATATCTCAGAACATAATGTTCTAGTTCATTCTGCCAACCTTCATGCGTCAACTAGACAAGTACTTGAGAGAATGGTGCAGCTTGGTAAAGACATTAAATACAAAGTAATTAGGTAAGAAACTATGTCCAAAAACTAGTGTATTTTCACAGTTCATTTAGATTTCTTTACTACATAATGGGCTGGAGCAATAGCTACAGCAGGTAGGGCGTTTGCCTTGCATGCAGCTGACTGGGCCGCCCTGGGTTCAATTCCTCTGCCCCTCTCAGAGAGCCCAGCAAGCCACCGAGAGAATCTTGCCCACGTGGCAAAGCCTGGCAAGCTACCTGTGACGTATTCCATATTTCATATGCCAAACACAGTAACAAGTCTCACAGTGGAGATGTTACTGGGCTTGCTCAAGCAAATCGATGAACAACGGGAGGACAGTGCTAGAGTGCTACTACATACCTACTTGTTGGTTGATATTAAAAGAGGGCATTTTAATTGTATGTTACATGTGTGATGCCAGGATCAAACCTGGACTTCATGCAAGCATGTGTTGTGCCACTGAAATAAATAATAAAAAATAAAATAAATATATCTTATTTTTATAAATAAAATATAAAAAGGTAAAAGGTAAAGGCCCTCCCGTTGATCGTCGATTTGCTCGAGCGGGCCCAGTAACGTCTCCATTGGAGACTTTGTTGTTACTGTGTCTGGCATATCGAATACTCTCGGTAGCTTGCCAGGCTCTCCGAGAGGGGCGGAGGAATCGAACTCGGGTCGGCCATGTTGGCTGCTTGTAAGGCGAACGCCCTACCACTGTGCTATCGCTCCAGTCCCAAAAACTTCATTTATAAAAATCAATTTTTGTGAATAAAAATTATAAGTAAATAATTTTATGTATTTGCACTGTGGATTATTTTCTTTATTCAGGGGTGGGAATGGGTGGGAGATTGTGCCACACTTGATTGTAACCAGATGTTACTCCTGGTTCTATACTCAGGGCTTAAGACAGTGCTGGGAATCGAGCCTGGAGTTTACATGCATACAAGCACCTTAACCCCTGTACTATCTCTCCTGTCCTACCATTAGTTTTAAGTTAGAAGAGATTCTACATGTTGATAATGCAATTCCTAGTACAAATCAATTATCTAATGTAATATGTTATGCATATCTGTTTTCTAAAATTATCTAACAAAGAGGATCAGGGCATATTTTTGGTCTTATGCTATAAAAAGTGAAAATGTTATGACTTTAAGGACAACATGAACTTCAAAGTACACTTGAAAAGATTCATCAGTAAGAGTACCTACCAAATCGATACTGCACATTAATTGGTCTTCCATATAAACGAATTCCATTCAGCAAAGCTATGGCATAAGACACTGATTCTGGGTGTTTAAAGCAGACAAATCCGAAAGACTTTGGTTTTCCTTCTCTGTCTTTGCATATCGTCACTTTGGTTAATGGCCCAGCCTATAAAAAACTTTAAAAATTATTTTCTCATAAGTCTAAGGATTTCTTTACATGCTAATATCAAATATCAATTGTAGACTAAAAATATACATCTATATAGTAACAAATGATTTATATCTGTGCTAGTAATGTACTTTTTAAACAATAAATATTATACTTTGTCAAACTTTCTTGGTATTTTCTGGTTCATCTATCAAAGAAACGTTAACATTAAACATTAAACAGGAAGGAAATAGTCTCAAATCCAAGGAGAAAATACATTCTGTGAAATTCAGGGAAATAATTTGAGAACTTTTAACATTAAAATGCTGCTTTGTTTCTATATACATTAACATGTATAAATGTGTTCATGAACAGACTACTTTATAATAAAGTAAATTTAATTGACACAGCCACTGTTGTGAGTCATAAAATAAAATTCATAACATTAAGTCATGGTCTAATTTTGTATAAGAAATATTAAAAATAAATTGTAAGGTCAAATATCAATTGATATTTGATATAAGCTTGCAAGAGAAACAAAAATTTTGCATGCATTTTGATTTCATAATTTTGCTCAGGAAATAATCTCAAAGAAAAAATAGTTTTAATATGTTTAAGTCTTATGTTGGTACATATAAGTGAAAAATTAACAAGGCTCCAAATATAACAATTGCAGAATATTATTCCATGCTGTATTTCTTCAACAGAATAAAATGTATGGCACAGAAACTATTCAGAATGTATCTACTGAGAAACCTGTACATTGCAAGATGGAGCTAAGAAGCCATCAAATATTTTTAATGATGTTGATTACAACTAATAAAAAAATTACTTGTCCACCAACCCAACGGACAGAGGAAAGGCAAAGACCTAAATTTTATAGTGAATGGCTCATACTTATCTATGTATTTTATGCACTCGGGTCTCAAAACTGTGCCTTATACATATTAGCATGCTCTCAACCAGTCACATCCCTGGACCATACTTAGTTTGTGTTTGTGGAGGTGGGGCAGGGGAATGCTGGGCCACAGTGCTCAGGCTCTTTCTCAGTTTTTGCTCAGGAGCAATCCTGGCAGTGCCCTGGGAAACTGTACTGGTGCTAGGGATTAGACTAGACTGTACTGTTTGCAAGAACAGGTGTACCTCCTGCACTGTCTCTCAGGTCCTGGACCCTTACTATTTTTTTTTTGTAGGAGTACTGCTATTTATTCAGTCACTGATTAGCTGATTGAATTGGGCATAAACTCCACCTTAATTTTTTTATTTTTTATTTTTATATTTATTTATTGAATCACTGTGGGAAAAGTTACTAAACTTTCAGGTTTAAGTCTTGGTCATACAATGATCAAACACCTTTTCCTTCACCAGTACTCATTTTTCACCACCAAGAACCCCAGTATACCACGCCTCCCACCCCTCCAAATGCCTGTAAGGCAAATGATTTCTACTTAACTCTTCTCTACATTGATTACATTCATTATTTCGACAAAAGGTGCACCATTATTGCTTAGAATTTCCCCCCAAACAATCAAAATTGCTGAAAAGGCATTGTGAAATATTTTGTTTTTTATAGCTGGTTATGAGAATCATATAATGTCACACGGCCACGATTTTGGATTTCTGCAAAGAGCCAGATAATTACAAGATTGGTTTCTGTGTGTCTGGTGTTATGGCCTTGCCGGAGAGTCGCTCCTGGGGGGTAACTTCTGACCCTGGTAGGGTGTGAAGGACGTGCCGGTACCAGCCCCCTTCCCATGAGACTGCAGTTGCCCCGTCACCATCAGCTCGTACCTGACTTTACTATAAGCTCTGAGGCAGTGGCCACCTTGCTGTCAGGGAGGAAAAAGGCAGAAGGGAGCAACACCCTTTCCCTCCTGAGGAGGCATGGCACCGTAGTTTAATGCATGGTCCATTCACTTTTCTTCTGCAAGCTGCTGGGCTCTGGACTAAGTCATTTTGCCTCTGGAGCCATGGTTGTACCAGAGAGCCGCTTGTGGGGGGCAACTCATGACCTCGGTAGGTCGTGAAGGACGAGCTGGTACCGTCCCCCTTCCCATGAGACTGCAGTTGCCTCTTCACCGCTGGTTCATATCTGGCTTTCCAATAAGCTCTGAGGTGGAGGTCACCTTGCTGCCAGGGGGATTAAAGACAGAAGGGAGCAACACCCTTTCCCTCCCGGGGAGGCATGGCGCCTTAGTTTAACGCATGGATGGACCCTTACTTTTTAAGTGATCTTTTTTTTTTTTAATTTTTATTAGTGAAACACCGAGAGGTACAGTTGTAGACTTACAAATTTTTGGGCTTGGGTGTCAGTCAGACAATGTCAAGAACCCATCCCTCCACCAGTGCCCACTCTCCACCACCACTAATCCCAGTATCCCTCCCACCCCCATCCCCCCATCTCACCCTGCCTCTGTGGCAGCAGGGCACTCCCCTCTTCTCTCTCTCTTTTTGGGTGCTGTGGTTAGCAAAAGAGGAATTGAGTGGCAATCATGTTTGGTCTATAGTCTACTTTCAGCATGCATCTCCCATCCTGGGCGGATCTTCCCAAGACCCTTTATTTGGTGACCCCTTCTCTATCTCAGCTGCTGCTACCCCTAGCATGTGTGGCTGGCCTCCAAGCCATGGAGTAAACCTCCTGGTATTTATCTCAGCTATTCTTGGGTGTTAGTCTCCTATTTTGTTACTTTATGTTTCCCGGAGGAATGTAATCTTTCTATGTCTGTCCCTCTCTTTCTGACTCATTTTGCTTAGCATGATACTTTCCATGTAGTACCACTTATATGTAAATTTCATGACTTCATCTTTTCTAACAGCTACATAGTACTCCATTGTGTATATATACCAAAGTTTCTTTAACCAGTCATCTGTTCTCGGGCACTATCTGCCTAACACCACGTACAAAAGTAAGATCAAAATGGATTAAAGACCTCAACATCAAACCGGAATCCATAAGGTACATTGAAGAAAAAGTTGGCAAAACCCTCCATGACATTGAACCTAATGTTATCTTCAAAGATGTCACACCACTGACCAAGCAAGTGAAAACAGAGATAGACAAATGGGACTATCTTAAACTAAGAAGCTTCTGCACCTCCAAAGAAACAGTGACCAAAATATAAAGACAGACTACAGAAGGGGAAAGGATATTCGCCAAATACACATCCTACAAGGGGTTGATATCAAGGATATACAAAGTACTGGTTGAAATCCACAAGAAGAAAACATCCAACCCCATCAAAAAGTGGGGGCAATGAAATGAACAGAGATTTTCTCAAAGAAGAAATCCGAATGGCTAAAAGGCACATGAGAAAATGCTCTACATCATTAATCATCAGGGAGATGCAGATCAAAACCACAATGAGATATCACTTCACACCACAGAGACTGGCCCATATCCACAAGAACAAAAGCAACCGGTGCTGGCATGGATTTGGCGAGAAAGGGACACTCCTTCCCTGCTGGTGCGAATGCCGACTGGTTCAGCACAGTATGGATGATTCTCAAAAAATTATCAACTGAGCTTCCATTTGACCCAGCAATACCACTCCTGGGAATATACCCCGGAGAGGCAAAAAAGTATAGTCAAAGTGACATCTGCACTTGTTTGTTCATTGCAGCACTGTGTACAATAGCTAGAATATGGAAAAAACCTGAGTGCCCGCGAACAGATGACTGGTTTAAGTGCTCTTTTCTCCCGTTGAATTGGGAAACATATATCGAGAAATTCTCTTGAAAGAAAAATGGCCATTGTCACTTTTAAAATGATGCTATATTTAAAGGATTGCCCTACCCTTCATTATCTGTTTTCTCAGAACTAGCTCATATTCCCTTCAAGCTCAAGAATAAACAAATCTATTTTCTTTACACATGCCTCCCTCATAGATACAGTTTTCTAGAGACCTCTGTTTGCCTACTTAGAACAATATATTTGAAACTGAATTCATTATCTTCCCCCCTTGAACTTACACTTCAATTTCTCTTTACTTAAAAGTACAAAGATATTAAATAGTCTCACTTCACAATATAATCAGATATTTGGTACATTTATAAAACCAGTATACTGGTACTTTCCCAACTAATAGTTCCATATATGAAATCACAAAGAGACAGACTAAACACAAACACTTTTGAGTTTTCTAAATTCAAAGATATTTCAAAGCATTTTCAAAGACACATTTCAATTAGAAGACTTATTTGTAGCATTACATCTTTAGCCTTTCTAAAATAAGAATGAAATACACAGCTTGCATTACAGTTGTCAAGATTTGCTCCATTTTTACTTATTTTTAAGGTGGGGAGAGGGTATTGCCAACCTCCCCCCCCCCCCCCCCCCGCCCACCCAGTGATACTCAGGCTTTCACCTGACTCTGAGATAAGGATTACACCCTTCCTACTAGGCTCAGGGACCATATGGGATGTCAGTTCATATTGAACCCAGTTCAGCCACATGCAAGGTAAGTACTTTGCCCAATTCACAATCTCTCTGTTCCCCATTTTTACTTTTTGCAGTTTGACTTAAAAATATAACTCATTTGAATCAGAGATCTAGTACTTAAACAGGAGTAAAGATGCTTGCCTTACATACGGCTGTGGCTGCCCAGGTTGGATTTCTAATACCACAAATGGTCCCCTTTAGAACCCTTTAGAATGCCAGGAGTGATTTCTGAGCACAGGACCAGAAATTAGCCCTAAGCATGGCCCTACAACTAAAACAAGCAAACAAGAAACCAAAATAAATTCTTCATTTTAGCAAACTCTTCCAGAATAAGGAATGATAGTCAAAAATTAAAATACATGCTTGGTTGCCTGTCTGCTGTAAGCATTTTATTTGGGTAGAAATTATGAAAATATATTGAAAAGAACAAATTTAAAAAGATGGGACCAGGAATGTGTTGTACAGCACAGAGCTGGCAAATAAGAAGCACTGTCTTATACGCTCCACAAGACTCCCCAAACAACAAAAGATGCAAATTAGGATCAACATAAAATTCCTCAAGTGAGCAATATTTTAAACACAAAAGTATTATTTTCAGGGCCAAATAGAAGTACAGTGGGTAGAGTATTTTTCTGGCACACAGCCAACCGAGGTTCAATCCCTCACATCCCACATGGTCCTCTGACCCAGCAAAAATGATTCCTGGGTGCAGATCCAGGAAGAAACTGGGCATCACTAGTTGTGGCCTATAAACCACACACACACACACACACACACACACATATATATGTATATATGATTTTTATATATTATACCAAGAAAAGGGAACTGTGTTTCAGAAAGGAATTCTATCAAAAGGCATAGCTCTATTATTAATCAAGGGGGATGTAGAGACAGATGTAGTGTCAGTGGAAAACCAAAGCACTCCTTTCATCTTTGGTACTCATATTCAGCACTGGAAACTTAGTTTTGCGATAGCCTCCCTTGGCACCTGCCCTTCTTCTGAGAAAAATTCTTGAATAGGCCTATTTTTAATTCATCCCACTCCATCTTGCCTCTGAGCTCATATGGAGACTACTAGGGACAAGATAAGCAGCCTGTCTCAGCAGGTGACTCAGCTCCCTACCAGGGGCTCTGAAAAGAACACCCACTCAGTGATTTCTCCTTATTGATGATTTAACACCACTCCATGTCCTCTTCTTTTTGAATATCAAGATATAGAAGGCTATCACTGTTGATTGTCACAAAAAGCCTCCAGTGCAACATGCAATCAAACCAAACTTTGAAACAAATGGTCTGAGCTCAGTAAGACCACTCTTTTGCTCAATTTTTTAAAAATCCCTGATACCTGATTGCTTACAAAACTCACCTTCTACTTCCCCTTGGTTGCAAACTCCACTCAGATTCCTATTCTCTAATCAATATTTTTGATTATATAGCCATCCAACTATTTATAAGCTGCGGGGGGATCAGTCTTCCTTGGTATTACTAACAGCAACATCAGTGAGTGTTGGTTGTAGCAGCAGCAAACACGTCCTAAATGATAGGGTCAGTTGTGTTTTACCGAGATTATTTGATTATTAAACCACATCGTACTGGAAATTACACCTTGCTCCAATTTGAAATTTTAGAAAACCGAGGTACTCAAGTATTTATTCTTTTGGCGGGGAATGGAAAATTGCATTGGTTGACATCTGAATTCTGGGAACTCTGGTATAAAATGTATATCCACCTTCTCACCTTATCCTCAATCATGGTAGCTGATTTTGAATGTTCTTTTAGAACAACCAATTATCTTATATTGCATGCCCAGCACCTGAGTTTGCCACGTGTATAAGGATTAATGGCTGGAAGAATGCATCTAATTTTTAGCAAGTGAAATCCACAAGTATACAATAGGTGAGTGCTTACAGAAGACAGGAAGCCTAATCTGAGGGCGGGGCGAAGGGGTACCACGTCTTAAAAGTTTCCTGAAGGAAAGCTTGATATAACATAAAGAGGATCAGAAAAAGCAATTGGTCACAGACCAATTAGTCTGTCGAAATCAAGTGAAATATCCCTGATGGTGATCGTGCTGGAGTAAAAGCACCTGTCATAAAAGGTTCTGGCTGGGGCACCGGGAAAAGCACACACCGGGAATCATTCGCATTTCTCTCTCCTAATCAGGGATGGAGGGGGGCTGGCGGGCGCTATTTGCAAGAAAGCAAACAATGATGGGGCGATTTTCGCTTTGGAGAGCACACACCCAGGTAGCGGCAGCGAAGCCCTAACTCAGGTCCGGGGATTGGGGGGGAATCCTAGACACTATCTCCCCACGGGTGCTGCGGCGGGGACAAGGAGGGGCTCGGGAGCACCTACTGTCACTTGAAGCAGGTGATCCCATGAGAAACTAAAGCAAATTCAGGCTCCAGCTGCAGCGGCCACGGGGCCGGGCGGTGGGTGGTGCAGGTGCGCCCCGCCCCTCCGCTGACACTTCCGGCCCCACGAGCCCCGCCCCTCCCCGCCAACGGTACCTGAAGGAACAGTTCATAAAGAATCTCCTCCCGGACGCGGGCTTCCAAATTGCCCACAAACACCGTCCGCTCGGCTTCCTCCTGGGCAGGGAACATCCCTCTGATCTCCGCCTGAGGATGGAGGAGGCGCCCAGGCCCCGGACCCCTCTCGGCTTTGCAGCACGGCCTGGGAGAGGGGCGGGGCCAGCGTGGGGGAGAACACGCCCAGGGGCGGGGATAACTTTCGGGACCACGCCCACAACCCCAAGGTCCCCGCCCACAGCGCCACGCTCCGTTTCCCGCCCACACCCCCTTCTCCCGGGTTCTTGGTGGTGAGCCAAAGGGAGAAAAAGTGCTAAGGAAGATTAGAGTGCAAGGAGCGAGGAGCATTGCCTTTTTGTTTTAAAGTGCACTCTATTTAACTAGTATGAATAGTATTAGTTGAGCTGGATTTATTCAACACTTTTTTTGGGCGGTGGTGGTGAGGGGGCTATACCTGGCTGTGCAGAATTTACTTGGGGCTTTGTTCTCTGGGACCTTTTATTGTGCCAGGGATCAAACCCCGTGGGCTGCGTGCAAAGCAAGACCTTGAATCCGTGTTCTCTCTCTCTCTGGATCTGAATTTCTTCTTTGTATGTTATTTTGTTTTACCATTTTTATCAAGGTACCAGGATTTATAATAGGGTCATTTATACTTTGAGTACAGAAATCATTCCAAGACCAGACCCATCACCATAGTGTTCCCTCCACCAGTGTCCCATGGACCCCTTCCAACAATAGCTACCATGTAAGCTCACTCTATAGACAAAACCTCCAGTTCCCATCATTTTGATTATTTGTACTTCCCTTACTATGTTCCTCTTTTAATCTAGCACACAGGAAAGGGATGGATTCCATATATTAAATCAAATGTCCGTAAGAATAATTTGACATTTGAATTTAATTATAGAAGCCCCCCTGCTAATAAAATTAATTTCTTTATTTCTATGAAAGTATATGAATATTCTTTATAAATTAATTCAGGAAGAATTCATGCATCCATGCATTAAAGTAGATACACTAGAACATTAAAATTTAGGTTTATGCTTCGTAAGTGGCCTTTGAAAATGAACAAAGAGTTTTCAGATGGACAATTTTTTGCTTAGAGATCACCGAATAAGCTAGGCTTCCATATTATTTAGCTAAAAAAACTTCATATCTCTAACAAAGACATAAACAAACTTCATCATTACAAAATTTGTAGTATTCCAAACATGGTAAAAGTCTTTTTTTTTTTTGGAAGGAAAAATTTTAATCCAGGCTTTCTTGGCAATGAAAATATCTTAAAAGACAAAAAAATACTGGCATAGTTAGAATTCAAATACTTCATTCCATGTAATGTTCAAGTGAAAATGAGATTAAAGCAACCCAGTTACAAAGTATAAGCTTCTAAGAGAATTATCGAATCATTCTAGTAAAATGTTAGTAAGGAAGCCTCGCGCTAATGAAGTACCCACACTGTGTTCCTGCATGTGGCCAGAGACCCATCAAGCCAACCAGGAACATCCAACGTGACCAGAACAGCCACCTCCCCTGCAAGTCATTCACCCCTGTGCTGCCAACTGCAGAAACGAGACTTGATGTTTTATTACTCAGAGATGGTTTAACAAGGTTATGTCCAAGAAGCTCCCTATCAGTTACAACCGATACATACAAATTAATTAATTTGAATTAATTCACTAAGTTCTACTTTTTATCATTCATTGTCACCTCAGGACATCCAAAAGCTTAGATGTTGCAAAGTAATCAATGAACCTTGTCCACAATAAACATGGGTATACCAAAGTACACATCTAGACCTACAGTTATAACCTAGACTGTCTTCTAGCTGAGCTACCATCAGAGGCCTTCCCTTCACCCTCCCTCTTCTTTCTTCACCATTTTAGTGACCAAGTTCAGGACACATCTTGCTCTAAGAGGTGGATTATTAGACTCCCAGGAGAGTGTCCTTCCTAAAAACTAAAAATCATATAGGAATTGTTTACTAATACTACTTTTTAAAATATACTGTATTAGGACTTATAGCCATGTTAACTAAAATGCACATATAAAACAAAAGATTATGTGAACGTGCCTATAAGACTCATGGGTTCAGTACCCTTCCCTGCAAACTCCTCCCCAACAGTCAGTGTTCCCTTCATCAGTTCCTTCCCCAGATACAATCATTCCTATAAATTCTTTTTAAAAAGTTTCTTTTCTTTCTACTTTTAATGTTGTACACTTTCAAACATCTATGATTAAATGTTTCAAACAAGGACTTGTTTTGTCCTTTGTTCACTACAATCTGAGTGCCTTCTACATAAAAATTTTCTAGTCTAGGATTGTTTTAAAAAGATTTTAAAATTTTTTTGGGGGGAGGGGGAGTTTGGACCACACCCGGCTGTGCTCAGGGCTTCCTCTTGGCTCTGCACTCAGCAATCATGCCTGGTGGGCTAGGAGGAAGGGGAGAAATCAAACCCAGTTGACCACATGGATGGCAAGCACCAACCTGTTGTGCTGTCGCTCCAACTCCTCTAGCCTAAAATATTGCCTCTTCTCATCCCTGTCAACCCAGTGGACAGACTGGGTTGGCAAAATAACTCTAAAGTCGATATTAACGGTTTTACTCCCTCAAATTGTTTTCAGAAGCCTTTCTGAAAGAAAGAATTCCAACAAGGTGTACACAATGGACTTCTTTTTTTTTGTTTTTTGTTTTTTGTTTTTGGGTCACACCTGGCAATGAACAGGAGTTACTCCTGACTCATGCACTCGGGAATTACTCCTGGCAGTGCTCAGGGGACCATATGGGATGCTGGGAATCGAACCTGGGAATCAAACCCCGTTTGGCCACGTGCAAGGCAAGTCAAACGCCCTACCCGCTGTGCTATCGCTCCAGCCCCTGGACTTGTTTATTAACTCTACTTTTACACTGGAAACCTCTTTAACATCTAGAAAGACTAGATGTTTGCAATTAGGACATTTGTCCTTTATATGCAATATATATATACACAGCTAAATAAAGCAGAAGACAGACATAAGGGACAATGGCTAATCTTGCCTACCTAAAAATATATGCATCTAAAAGCCCTCTGTGCTTCCCTCCTCCCTCTCTGAACCAGTATAAATGAAAACTGTTCAGAAGCAGGTGGATCATTCTGGTCATTCCATTTCCAAAAGACTACCCTAATGTATTTTAACAAAAAACTGCATAGAAAATATGTTAATTTCACTACCTCTACTTTTAACATACTTGTGTACTTCTAAATATCTAGAAAGACTAGATGTTTCAAATAAGGACTTAGTTTGTCCACTATATACATAGTACCATTGAATAAACCACACACATGTAACAATGGTTGTATCATAAAGCCTCTTCACTGTGGTCTAGAGTCCTTCATTTTCTCCAATTTTTTCTCTCCACCACCAAACCCTGGTGAGGGTAAGTGCAATTTCATTCACAAAAAGGTTCTTTTCTTTGTTTTTAAAGGTCTTTTTTCTTAATGACAGCTTTTGATGAATTTTCACACTGGTACAAATGTGTTGGTTTACTAACTCTATTTTTGTCATGCATTGGCAACCTCTTTAATATCTGGAGATTAAGTATTTAAAAATCAGGACTCATTTGTCATATATGGGCTAGAGCGATAGCACAGCAGTAGGGCGTTTGCCTTGCACGCAGCTAACATGGTCGACCCGAGTTCGATTCCTCCGCCCCTGTCGGAGAGCTGGACAAGCTACCGAGAGTATCTCGCCCGCACGGCAGAGCCTGGCAAGCTCCCTGTGACATATTTCGATATGCCAAACACAGTAACAAGAAGTCTCACGATGGAGACATTACTGGGCCCGCTTGAGCAAATTGATGAACAACCGGAGGACCGTGGATATATATATATATATATATATATATATATATATATATATATACAGTAAAGTTATAAATGAAATACAATGTAATATACTAGAGCAGCAGGTAAGCTGAAAATAAGCTGAAAATTTCTACTCGGCAATTTGTTCCCCTCCACCTCCCTCAAACCAGTAAGTTTACTGTTCAAAGAGGTAGTTTAAAGATTGCATTTCTAAGACTATTTCCCACTAACTTTTTATTTACAAGAAGCACTATACTACTTTTAACTAGATTCAGCACTTAGCTAGGTATCTAGAAACACAAGGTATTTCATTTAAGAACTTTTCCACAATGGACACAGCACTATTAAAGCAAACTGCTCACTAACAATAGTTGCATTTTGAGGTATCTTCTAAATATGACCATTCTGGCTTTAACTTTTCCCTTACTCCCACCAACCCAACTTCATGGACAAGTACAGGAATGTGTGTTTAGAGAACTAATTTATACCAAAGTCTTTTATAGAAAATCTTCCTGTAACAGTCAACAGATTTAAAGGTGCTAATTTTACTCTTTCTCCATATACTGGCAACTTTTAAAATCCAAAGCAGAAGTTCCCAAACTTAATTTGGCCTACCACCACATTTTCAGGTGAGGGGAAATCACTCACTACCCTCCGGGAAATAAAAGACCCACCCCGCACCCCCAACTGCACATAAGGCTACTGTTGCCCCTCCCCCCTCCCAGTGGCCTCTAGGCGGCACTTTGAGAATTATTTTGAGCTAGTGACTAGATGTTGCAAAAGTTCTGCCCCTTATAAACAGAGCAACAGAAAATGCGTGTAACAAAAACGATTGTCTTAAAAAATGTCTTTGTATGCACACACACACTAACACATCACCTTTTGCAATTCTTTCCCTTCCACCTCCTCAAACCACTTAGCAGGCAAGCACACTGTGCACAGAGGTGATTTAACAGCCCCATTCCCAGGACAATATTTCCCACCAGTTTTAGTCTGTCTTCCCCTTGTTCATTGATTTGATCCAGCGGGCCTCGGCCAGGCTGGCTGCGCATAAGGCAAACGCCCTACCGCTGTGCTATCGCTGCATTCCCCGGTAGCTCGCAGTGATCGTATAGTGGTTAGAACCAGTTTTAGTAAAAATGGCATTTACAGCGTGGCATTTTACTAGCTCTACATGTAACATACTTTGGGCACTTCTAAACATCTAGATGGACTAGATGTTTCAAATAGGACC